AAGAGCTCGTTGACCTCACTGAGACGGATGATCGCGCGGACAACGCAGACCCAGCGATTGACTCGCGCCGCAAGAGTGCAATCCCAATCCTGGACCCTGACGCCCTCCCGTCAGCAAGCGTGAACAAGTACTTGTGCCTTGAACGCATTGCTACAACCGTGTTTTTGGCCAATGGTAATGGAGGGTACGGCTTGTTAAAACCTGCACGTACAGTCTACCCAGTATTCCTCGCACATCGGCTGCAAAACTATGATTTACAAGGACCTGCCTGGCAAAGCGCATCGGGAAGCTTGCGGGTATGGCGAAGAAGTTCAGTGATGCCCAGGACATAACGGATATTCAGAAAAGGCCCTTGGGACCAAAAGCAACACACGAAGCGCACAGCTTTCAAGGGAGGGGTTCCTTCACTTCGCAGCCGAGGCTGGGCAAGGCCCTCTCCGATTTCGTGGACAAGTTGGAGAAGCAACAGCAAACAATCTCAGAAATATACTCAGCTGGAATTGTTTCGGGCTACACGAAAGAGCTTCTTGTTTGCGCTGAAGTGTCCGTGCTTTCTTGCGCAAGCTTCGGGGAAAGCCTGTTTGGATCTTTCTTGGGCTCAGATTAGCTTAAAGAAGCGCAGCATTTTCAGCCCCCTAGTGACCGCCAGGGCCAATTTCAACAGGTGGCCTGGGAGTGGCCTGGGAATGTGAAAAAAGACACTCCCAGGCCACCTGTTGAACAGTGCAAGCTTCTGACAGGCTGGAGTCAGATCTCAGGGCCAAGCTGGAGCAGGTCACTGCCGTGTCGCGGCCTTGGCGGACAATAGGGCCAGATGCCGCTCTGACATGAGTGAACAGAACAAGTAAAAACGATGCGCGCCTTAAGGGCCCTTAGCGCGCGCATCTATTCTTAAGCTCTTTCGGCTTCTGGTGGAAAATGTTAGGGCCGCTTGAAACCGATGTGTGCCTTAAGGGTCCTTAGCGCGCGTGTCGGTTTGTAAGATCTTTCGTCCTCTCCTGGGAAACCTTAGGGCCACCGATTCTCTCGCTCTTGAAGCCAGGGCAAGGTGGGTTGGTTTCGCTACATCCGATTGCTTGCTTCATGGAGTTTTGCTTTTTTTGATCCCTTGCCAGGCCTTTCACACCGAAGGAGGTGGCGGGTGCAAAAGCAAAGACCGCCCCCAAGGCGAAATCAAAAGTTGTGAGAAGGGACCCAGCCAAGGCAAAGTCAAAGGCAAAGGCAAAGCCTGCCGCCAAGGCAAAGAGTGAAATATCTTCCCCTGCTTCCAATAAGCGGGCCCGCAAGAGCTGAGCAGCAAGAGCTGCTTGGTCTCCAGTGGCGCCGCAATCCTTGCCCGCCTTCACGCTCAGAAGCGTGCGAGCGCATGCAGGGCTTTTGGTGGGTCTGGTGGCTTTGGCTTTCCGTCCTTGAAGTTCCCTGTCTGAAGATGGAAGTTCCAAACAGTTGAACTTGGTTTTGGTCAGCAGAAAAATTGCGAAAAGGCAAGGCCCATTAATTGCTGCAACACGTGTGGCTTGCCAATCTATGTGGCAACGTGCTTTGGGGATCGACGAAAAAGTTGCTGAGCGGGCCTAGTTTTGAGCGTCCCTGCCAGCGTGCTAGGCCGTCTGTGTTGGCCCCACCGCACGCTGTGCCAGGTGACGCAGGGACTCAGGACAACCACTTTAACGGGGACTTGGTGAACAGCTACGCAGAGTTGCTTTCTGACGGCGTCAGAGCCCCAGAGCTTGATGGACTCCTCACCCTGGTAATGTTTCACAGGCGCGGTTGGGTTGCTCAATGTGTAGTTGACATCGTATTGTTTCCTTGCCCTAGCAACGTAGATAGCCCTGGATTGAAGGCTGCACAGTGGTCAAAGTGGTCTGAGCCAACTTTGAATTCCTAGGCCTTGTTTGCCTGGCATGCGCCCCTCGAAAACAAAGTTGCAGGTTTCTGGAAATTTGCTCCGAACAGGGCTTAACCTATTTTGAGCTTCAAACCACGATCCTGCCGAGGTTCCAGCCGCTTCCCTCCAGAAGTTTGGCCAGGCAGCTCGAGAGGAGGTTGGCAATGGCCTGAGCACCAACATTCACAACGCATCGCGTGACGCTCACCGCTTCGTTGGACAGTGGGGTCTGGCGTGGAAGGTGCCCGTCGACACTTTGGATTCTGGAGAGGGGCAACATAAGATCACGGTGCCCTTTATCAGCCCCAAAAGCTTCGTGCGGTTTTTGCTAGAGAAAGCTCCCGAGTTGCTTACAGGTGGCTTTACTGACGAGAAGCTTGGCCGTGAAAACCTCACATCGTTCTGGGGCTGTTACCAACGGGTGCACCCAGACCATGACATGTTCAGAGAGGAGGGTGGCGAGGATAAATGGTCATCAACCCTAGCAATGTCGATGCATGGGGATGAGGGGCGGGGCCTCAAGAAAACAAATACTTGCGTGATCATGTTGGAGAGCAACCTTGGCTTGCAAACAGCTTTGACCCGCAAGAGAAGAGTAGATCCTGCTGAGTGCCCCGACTGCTGTGTTTCTGAAGCCTTTGCAAAACGGTGCCGTACACAAACCGGCTTTGCTCCAAAGAACTCCTCTACGCCCTGCTCTACATCGCCAGCCCGACAGGTTACAAACCTACGGCACAACAGCTTCCTGACCAAATTTGTTCTGTGTGCACTTCCAGATTGGGTTGCGAAGCAGCCGGGCGTTTTAGCGACCGTTCTAGAGCGATTTTGCTCTGAATTGCGGTGCTTAGCAACTGAGGGTGTAAGCGTCCGTGGCAGGCAATGGTATGTGCAGTTGACAGGACTCAAGGGAGATTTGGATTGGTACAAGAAGATTGCAAATCTGACAAGGTGCTACAAGCAGCAGCTGGGCCCAAACCTTCCCTGCTGCCACGAGTGTCAGGCAGGGGCTGTTGGGATGCCCTTCGAAGATGGCTCTCACCGACCTCAATGGGTGGAATCGGCGGGGGTCTCAAGACCATGGGTACAAGAGCCACCAATCACACAACTCGTGTTCTGCCAGTCTGTGCCGGAATCTGTAATGCGGAGAGATATTTTCCACAACACCAAACTTGGAATATTCCGTGATTTCCTTGGTGGCTGCGTGCTGCTCCTGTGCAAACTTGGCTATTTCCATGAAGATGATGCAAGCAACAAGAGAGAGATTTTGCTTGACCGGATGCATGGGCACTTTGCCTTATGGTGCTCTGCTGTTGGCAAGCGTCCAGGTCTACACAGCTTTACGCCGCTGTTTTTCAACGCTCCCAACCAGAATGCTTTTGGCTGGATCAACTGCAAAGGTTCAGATTGCAGCCTTTTACTTTCCTGGATCCAGGTTTTGCTGTCCGGCTTCCTGCGTGATCTGAAAGACCCGGCCCATGAGGACACCTTGCGTGTGATGCTTCGCTGCGCCCAGCATGCTGAGACGTTTACCAACATCACTTACACCCACGGGCTGTGGCTTCCCAGACGCTGTGCTGCCAAGCTGTACTCCGACATGCATTTGTTTTTGGCATCCTACAACACTTTGGCTTTCTGGAGCTTACACAAGTGGCAATTTACTGCTTTTGGAATGAAATCAAAGTATCACATGGTGTGTCACACAAAATGGGACCTTTTGAGGTGGCTCCAAGCCAGCCCACCCATTCAGTGGATCCCGAACCCCCAAGTCTGGGGATGCGAAATGTGCGAAGATGTTGTGGGAAAGCTCTCTCGCTTAAGCAGGAGGGTGAGTACAAGACTTACTGGCCGGCGAACGCTGGAGCTTTATTTAATCAAGTGCAAGGCTGTACACAGACGCTTTTTGAGCACGGTGAAGGCGCAAAACCCCAGATAACAAGTCGTCGAGTCGTAAGAAGCCCCTTTCAGAAGGAAACTCAGGCCGTCGCAAATGTTTGAGCAACACCCTTTGTTTCTACCCTTTGTCGGTTCAAAAGACATGCTGGGTGCCCGGGCCGGAGTCCCGAACGCCGTTGCAGCGAAGTGCGCTGTGCCAAAAGGACGAGGCAGGCGGGCCAGGCGGGAGGTTAACCCTTTGTCCCACTGCCACTTTGAACCAAGGGCATTTTTTGGGGAAACGGCTTTTTTGGGTTGAAAAGGATGTTTCTTTCCCAAGCGGCGGAAACAATTGCTTTTTCGCGAAGAGGCAGGAATTTGGCACACCCGGAGGGTCTATATGTGCAGGCTCTACACAAGACGTGTATATCGGGATTCATCACTGAATTCCCGTTGAGCCAGCTAGCCGCGCCTGCCAAACTGCGTGCTTTCCTTTTCAAAGGGAAGGAGTTTCGCTTTCGCTCCCTGAGGCTTCAGCAACACAGCTCCGGCTTCCTTGGAAACCGGAGAAGCCATGGGTGGCTTCGGGAAGGGAGAAAGCGGCGTCCCCCGATTTTTTTGTTTGGGGGGGGGGGGGTTAGATTGTTGGTTTGGAGCCGGGGTGAGACCAGACCTTGCCCTTTTTGCCTTTGGGGCTTTCAACCAACTGAACCTCAATGCCCTTGTTAGTCTTTTTTGGTTTCAGGGTTGAGGTAAGCCTTGATTGGTACCGGGTGCTTGTGTTAAGTCGTCCTTTATTTTTGTAAAGTCGTCCTTTGCGGGTGTTCCGATGCAGTTGTGTTATGAAACATTCCAGCGCTTTCGGGTGGACGAATGTTTTGACCATTTGGCGGCTTGCGTTGAAGCCCTGATTCTTGTAAATGCGAAACAAGGGTCCCCTGGTACCTAAAGCGCCAAATGGGTAGAGCCCTCGAGCAGACTTTTACCCAACAGCGATTAAGCTGTATAAGCCTCCATTTGCTTCAGCTTGGCCTGGCAAAAATGAGAAGATGTGTCCAGTGGTAGATTCCCTTTCGCCAAATGGAGGTAGCTTGGCCCTGCCACCCCAAGTCATAAAGTGCATGGACCCTCAAACTACCCTTAAAAAATGGAATTCACCAACCATCTTGGGGCTATGAGTTTCGAGGGTCCAGGTGTATGTTTCTAGTTGTAACGCCGGCCGCCGGATCGGAGATCCCGCCTGGAATGTTCCGCGGCCTGATCGGAGTGCGAAAGGCACTTGCTGCTTCCCAAGAACCCTACCACTCACAAAAGCCACCTTTTTTCAGCAAGACTCACTTTTTCAGGGTTTGGGTGTCAACCCTTGTTTCCTGATTCTAAGGTTGAGTCAGGGCTTGGAAGTGGCTCCGAACCAAAGAGGCTCCGAGCCTGCCTTGTTTTGGTGGGCTCAAACAGTTGGATCATTGCAAAGCCACCCTTCCCACCACTGATGGACAAAATCCACGCGAATCCATCGGCGGGGTTTCGTCCATCACTGCGAAGTGAGTTTCGTCCATTGGCTGTGTGGCTTTGTTGGTACCCTTTTTGAGGCGGGGTGTTAAAGGTAGCAAACGCAAAACAAACAGTTTCAGGCTCCAACTCCTTTGAGACAAACCCATATGGGTGTCAAAATAGGGAATTGGAACCCCCAACGTGGTCTTCCTTACAACAAGCTGAAAAGTGCTTTTTTTTTTTTGAAAATCCATACTGTGGATGGACGAAATCCTGCACCACCTTTGAAACCCTGGAACGATGATTCCGTTGTAAATACCAACAAACAATGGCTTCAACCCTGGTTTCACAGTCGGGAAGGAATTCGTCCTTCCACAGTCACACACACACATGGGTATGACTTTGAATGGGGGACAAAATTATGTCTACCGACCATTTTGAGGGTACTCCGCTCCATTAAACAAATAGCCACCTCTTTCCAAAGGGTTAAGGTCAAAGCCCAAAGCAAGAAGCTACGAAAGTAAGTTGTGGAAAGGGCACGTACCAACACCTTCAAAAGTGCTGTCCTTGAAGCCAATGACATGGTCTTGACCACAAACATGAAGAACCCTTCTCAAGCAAAAGTTCAAAAAGAGGGCACCACTGGGCAACTGGGTCTTGTTGGAGACTTGCCGCAGCGCCTATGGGATCGCACTTTGCGTCTGAGTTTTGTGAGATAAGACCCTGGTGGTACATTCAAGTCAATCTCTGAATGTGCGAAGCGGTCAGTCTGTCTGTTTCCACGGCCAAAAGAACTCAAACATTCGGATGTTCTACCGAGCCCCTGTAGGGTCCTCCCAATTTCGAGCTAACAAACACCACTGGGCTTGTGTAAAGTGGTGGGACCCCCAAACTAGTGGCTTCCTTTTGGTTTCCCTTCTTTGAAACACCCTAAACGGGCACCCTTAAAGGCACAAACACGCGCACACGCTCAAAAACCCAGGCACGCACGCACAAACCCACCTGGCTGCAAACATCTTGCCCGAGGTCGACACTTATTTTTGCCAGGCGCCACTGGAGGATACGACCGCGGCAGCCTCGATCACACAAGACTCCGCAGCGATCGCACGGGGGCAACACACCAAAACGAGTCCCGGACAGGACCCTCAAACAACCCAGAAAGTGGGAACTCACCAACCATAATTTTAGGGCTACAACCCAGTTTGAAGGGACATTTTGGGAGGGTTGTCGGCTTCGGTTTTCCTTGCGACTTCCCTTTAAAGCCACGAAAAAGGGGCTACCCTTAGAAACGAGACACACCCAGCTGGCCGCGTCCTCTCTGTTAGGACAATTACCCGCCTTGGGCTCACTTCTTTGGGCTCGCTTCACAGGGTAGCCTGTTCTGGGGGAGGGGATATCCTCTTTTAAGACACACCTGTATATCCCCATAGTTGTCAAGGCCATTGACAACCATGGAAACAAGGAAGCCCCCTTGCTTCAACCGATTGAGTGGATTGGCCAAGAATCTGGAGCCGAAATTGATGGTTACCATGATCCGAAGTTGCCATCCTTTGGTCATGTGCTCAACATATCCGCTGATGCTACTGCTTGGAACGCCCTCTAAATCACTTTGCGTGTTGCTCAAAATGATTGGCAGGAGGATGACTAAACCAATTTTTGTAATTGTGGCAGCTACTTTCACCCAACCGTACTTTGATTGTTTCTTGGTCTGATCTTTAATCTCAACGGTGAAAATACATCCGCAACAACAACCTAGTCACCTAAGTGTGCGGGACCCATTTACATGTTGCTTCCTTCTACAAACTTAACTTGGAACTCACTTAGGAAAATAATATTCTCGGAAATTATGTGCAAGTACATTTGGTTTTGGCAGGGTACTCTCCTTTTAAGAATTACCCAACTGGCGAAGCGGGGTCATGGGATATGGTGGAGACCATGGCAAATGGACCCCCCCCAAAAAAAATGGGTTTGCCTGTAGGTTTTTTAGGGGAATGGCCCCTAGGTTTCCTGTTAAGGGAAATAGATGGATTTCCCTGGCAGATGATTAAACCACCAGGTAAACCAGGGATCGCCCTCTATTTTACTAGCAAAACAGATAGTCCCCAAAAAAGCTGGTTTGCCTGTGGGTTCCCTTCGGGGAATGGCGCGGAAACTCCCGGAAGGCCGGTGTTTCCCGACGTTGTCAAGGTCAGGCCCCGGCTCAGACATGGCCGGCAGATCCATCACCACCCGGATGGGCGCACGGCCCTGGCTTGTTGAAATGCCGATCCAATTCGCTTGGCCGACCCAGAAATCTGACACCAAGGTGAGAACTTGTTGGCTGAAATTGAAAGAAGCTCGAGTTGGCAACATGGCGAATTCAGGTCAGTTAAGTCTGGGGGTAACTTGTTCGTCAAAAGCAATTATCCCAGTTGGAGTTAAATCCATTCCTGATCTGCTCAAAATCACCCCCAAGTGGTAGGTTCAAGGAAAACAAACGGTGAACTTGCCCACGCCAAAATCCACCAATTTGCCCAGGAACTCCAAGAGCGTGAGTTTCGCGTGCCTTGGGTTGCCAAATGGAGGCTGCCAGAAGATTTAAACAAAAACCGTGCGGTCCCCTGGTATAATCTTGACCTATACAAACTCAGCACGTGATCTTGGGTGAGTTCCATTGCTCAATTTGTGCAATCTGTAGGGAGGACGGTCGATGAGTCATCTTGGAAATCGACTTAGTCTTACGGTCGTTCTTACTGGGAGAGCAATCCTGGGTTGCCTAAATGAGCCAAAACAATGTCTCAGGATGATTTCCACTGCCCAAGAAAAAATGGGATTTATTGCCCGCCATGCAGCTTATGGCCACTATACGAAGGGTGCATGTGCCTGCATGGCTGGTGGAGGGGTCTTCCCAGAAAGTCAGGAATTGCCTCTTGCTGGCACCCAATTTATGCTTCAACTCACCACAACAAGTGGGGTTAAATGGAAAAGCAAAGCCCATTCTATGACTTTGATAACCCCCGGACAGTCAAATTCGACGTTTACACACTTATCTGGGTGAGTTATAATATTTCACCTACCTGAAATAAGGTGACTTTTTGGGGCTTCAGAAAACCCACCATTTGGGGTGAATTCGGTCGTGTGAGGTTGTTTTTTGTTTCACCCGAATTTATGAAAATCATTCAGGAGCCCACTTCGCCGGAAAAGCGCCCAGAGCATGGGGTGCTCCAACCATAAAGGCATCCCGTGGGTGCAATGAGACGCCCGCCGTCGCCTTGACTCATATGACCCTGAACTGTGAGCTTAGGGGATGGCTGGGACCAAGAAGATACGTGTCTGCGCGGCTCATTCTTCACTGCCTCTGGTAGAAGGCGTTGCCAGCTCTGCAAGCTCCTGCTCCAACAGGGCGACCGATTGAGCGCATGCGCTTCCACAGCTGCGTCTCGTAGATGAGGTAGAAGAGAGCGAAGAACCAGCAACCCAGAGCAACAACCCCCAAGGGCAAACAACAGTCCGGCAGGGGGAACTACTCCGAAAGGCATCTCGATGGGCCTCCACTACCATTGGTTCACCTCCTATAAGGGTTAGTCAGATCAGCGGCCGCAAACAAGACCAGGAACGGAGCCCCACCTCGGGGAGCGAGGGTCTGAAAGGCGAACGTGGCGTCTACTCTACACAAGGGGAGTCCAGCGAAGGAGTATTTAAAGAAACAGGGAGTCCAGCAAACTGCATGGGTGTCTTTCGGATGCTAATTGCACACATCAGCGTCCTTTGCAAACTGGAACGCGCTTATACACCGCTTGTCAGAACCCCTTTGTCAGAACCCGTTGCGTTCAATCTAGGCCTTCTGTTGACCCCATATGGATCCACCCCAGTTCAAGTGGCAGTGTTCCCCTGCAAACGTGGTCTGATTCCCCACTAACCCCAGAATTGGACATCTCCTCATCCCCCCAAGTAATAAACTCGGATTGATCAATACCCGGCTTAGGATTCACTTGTTTTCTCTCTCTCGGTCCTCCAGAGAGGTTAGAATCAGGGTACCCTTTTTTCTGTAGTCCATTTTAGTAGGGGAACCCTCCCAACCAAAAAAATGAGAAAGGGCACTTAGCTGGGGGACCTGCTGTAGGTGTTCATACGCCCGGATTTGTCCGCGACCCTGCCAAGGGACCCCAAGCCCAATGCTCCAACAATCGCCCCCGCCATATCTCGCTGCTGGCCGCAGTGCTTGCAGGCGTTCTGCGCCAAGTTGTCGAAGGCCTCGACAAAAAATCCAACGGTCCGAGAGTCGCAAAGAAACAAACAGACCCACCGCCAAAGAAAGCAACACACACACACACATGAGGCATGCCAGAATCAAGCACGCAAACAAAGAAACAAAGAGACACCCAAACAAACCAACCAACCAACCAACCAACCAACAAACAAGCAAACAAGCAAACAAACAAACAAACAAACAAACAAACAAACAAACAAGCAAACAAGACACGCCTACAGACAAACAAGCAAGCGAGCCAGCACGCAAGCAAACAATCAGACACACACACGGACAAACAAGCAAGCAAGCAAGAACAAACAAACAAAACAAACAAAAAACAAACACGCAATCAATCAAGCAAGCAAGCAAGCAAATAAACAAACAAAGAAACAAAGAAACAAACAAACAAACAAACAAACAAACTGCCAGCATGGACGGAAGCAGGAGAACAACAATCTGAAGAGGTGGTTATGTTCGGCCCTTTCAACAGGATTGTGTCTTGGCTTTTCACTTTTTTGTGGGCTTCATGGAACAATCTAAAGATGAAACCCAATCGAGCCGTTTCGACCCTGGTGTCTTTGTTGCCATTTTGTGGTTTGGAGCAACCCTGACCATATTAGATATGTGGCTCGTCCTCTTCTTACAAATTGGACACGCCCAACGTGCATTGAAAAAATCATCACTTGATCTTCATGGCTCGTCCGATCGCCCTGGGTCCCACTCTTTTGTTCGCGACTCCGGCGCCAAAAAAAGCTGTCGCTTTGGTTAGTGGTGGGGGGGAACCGGCTCAAGTCCGCAAGCCAGTATCCTAGCTAACTGAGGCTGAATGAACTTTGGGTCAATTCGGAGGACTGGTCTCAGAACATGAGCTATGTTGGTCCTTTGACTAGGGTCCTTCGGATAAATCTCACGCAGCTACCCAATCTCCAAACTTGTTGGTGCTTGTGGGTGCGCAGTAGGGAATGAGGGAATAAACCCAGGGATTCCCTTAAAGGAAACCACAAGGGATGGTTTATAAGGGTCATTCCAACTCATTTCCTGCTGAGCACCAGCAAGCAAACGGTCCAATCCGTCGGCTCGTCTGACATAGGCCCCCCAACGCGTCCGCAGTGCCAGCACGCCTTCGACGCTCTGAGAAGGGAGCCGTCCGCACTGTGGATGGTTGCGAAATCCATTTCGCACCACCTAAGAAACCCAAATAATTCCCATGTAAATACCAACAAACAATGGTTTACCATGGTTTCAAAGTGGTGCGAAATGGATTTCGTCCATCCACAGTAGGGACCAGGGGGGAAAGGTGGGTGGAATTTGCGTTTCAGTGCATTCTTCTTTTCGTGCAGGTGCCCATGCAGGACTTTCACGCGCTGCTATGTTGCTGGCACCGGAGCTCGCCTTCAAGTTCAAACCAACAAACCATGACCACTTGGGTCAAACAAGGAATGTCACAAGTCACCTTGCACCAGTTCTGAACGCCCTCCAATACATGCCAAAACAAGGCATCTGTGCATTTGCTTGAGGGGCTTGTTCCTTACATTTGTCTTCAGAGCCGACAGCGGCCTTTTCGTTCGGACTTTTGCCCAGGAAAAAGGGGAATATCCAGCAGGGTTTAAAAAGTCAGGAACCGTCTGGACTCCCTACTTAAGGAGGCGATCGGCAAACCTGAAGTGCTCAGTCACCTTGGCTGCAAATACCCCATCTAATTCCTTCAAGTCCCCATTCTATGGGTGGTCTAGCAGGGATTCTAACTACTTACGTCCAGTGAATTTGAGAACGGACCTAAAATTCCAGCCAAACGCAGCCATTCCATTCAATCACGTAACCAAGGCTAGGGCTTGCCACCCTTCAAAACTAAAAGGATGTCTCCATTTGCTTGAGTCCCCTGAACAAAAACACTGCCAGGGGATGCCAGGTGTGGTCAAGTCAAATTTTGGAAATTCGAGCTATTCCCTCATTGCTTCTTCATATTGAGGGATCTTGCTTTGCCTCTCTTCATAGGGAGCAAATTTTCGTATTGAGTCGCAGACAGTATTACTTTCATTTGGCTCAATTACCAAAATGTTGCCCGTTGCCTCATGCACTTGGAGTCCGCACAAAAACTTGACAGCCCTGCGCCCGCCCTTGCGGGCGCAATCGGAACACTGGAATTGGAAGATCCGGACAATGTGGTCCTCCCTTTTCAAGAACAGCGATCATTCACACATCATGTCCTTGCGTGCCTGAGGTAACTTCGAAGATCCTGGCGAGGCCAGATTTTTCCATGACAGAAAACCATCCGGAGAGTTCCATTGATTTTGCCGCCTGCTTCTGGGACTTGTCCGGAACAGCCGCCGCGCAATCCACGATACTCCTGGCCACACGGCTCATGGCGTCAGTTCTGAGTCGTCTCCGGAACACGAGGCAAGTGCTGAGGCGCCGTTGGGTTCCGGTAAGTGGATAATGTGGACCGAGGTAGGCATATGCCTTCATAAAGCCTTCGAGTATGAGGCCGACATGTTCTTTACAAAAGTTGTATGGCTCAAGGTTTCGGAGCACAACCAGACCATATGGCACCTGGAAAATACCATGGTTAGAACTTAGGCCCAAAGAGAAACCAGTGCTTGCTCTCGCTTAGGTCCCCTGGAACAAACATATATGGGTAGTGATGGATTCCCGTTGGAACCCAGAGGGGAAATAAACCATGTCTCAACGCAAATGGAAGAGCGCCATCGGTTTGAATGTCTGTAACAGGACACGGCACCAAGAGCCTGAGGACCGGATTTAACGGTTTCTGCCACGTGTTTCCCTTAGCCGAGGCAAGCGTGACAAAAGTTGACGGTGTGGCTGACTTTTTCTCAGGGCAACATATCCCTCCAATTGCTTAAGTCCCCTGGAAAAATATTTCCAGTAGTGATACATTTCCCAGCCAGGGGAAAATAAACATATTCTTAAGCAAATGGAAGTATCCCAGAAAGAGTCGGGACTACTTTTTCGGGTTTGGCACCGCCGATGTCACCTTACCTTCAGTTGGTGGTTCGGTCTGGCGGCTTGGACCTTCGGTTCCAAGCCCTCAAGCCACAAGTCCAAACTGATGTTGACCCCGGGTTTGTTAAAACCAGGACCACCCCCATATTCGCCTCGGCCTCGAAGGCTGGGAAGCGGTCACCTCTTGGCTTCTGGTCCGTCCGCGCGCGGCCAAAATCCTTGCTCCAGCCGCCTCCAGTCTGCCTGAAGCAAGCCTGGAAGCAGCCAGCTCCCAGGGCCGGGAGGTCAGATCCCTTCGGCTTCAACAGAAACTGGTCAAATCCCCTTCTAGAAGCCGATAGAAACCGGTCAACTTCCCAAGTCAAATCCCTGTAAAGACCGGTTCAACTCTGGTCAATTCCCGCTAGAAACCGGTCAACTTCCTCCTCTCAAAGCTGGACCAGTTCCGGTCAAATCCTCCTAGAAACCGGCCAAAATTACCTTGAAATCAAATTCCCCTTCAAACCCCCTCAAAATAGAAACCGGTCAAACTCCTTGCTAGAAACTTGACAAATTCCCTCTGAAACAGGTCCAACTGCCGTCAAATCCCCCCAGAAACCGGCACAAACCCCGAAGAAAACAAGCGAAATTTGGACCTGCGCTTGGCCCGCCATTCTGGCGGCTCTCGTTCTGGCCCTTGAAGCCAGGTGGGATCGCGCGGACATGCACCCACACTCTAGCTTGGAAACCAGCTCACGCATTTCGGCGCCGACTTGCTAACACCACTTCAAGTATATACATCACAGCCAGCCAAAAGCGGACTGGTCGAGGCGGGCAACGCGAAGCGTTTACGATTAATCAACAAGGGCACCTGACGATTGATCATTCTGCACCTACCGGTAGAGATTCATGCGGAATCGGTCAACTTTACCCAGGCCACCGCTCAAAAGCCAATAGGGTACAAAACTCCTCATGACGTGGATACATGGCGATACCATTTACATCTGTGCTTGTCAGGTTGTATTTTGTACTAAGCTCTAACTCCTGTTCAAGGATATCTGTTGTCATGTGGAACTGAATTCTTGGGCTGCCTTCGACTGAGCCCCATTTGTTGACGAATGCCCTTCTGCATACACACCCCCCTCGATATGCGGGACAGAGTGCGGGGACAAAGTGCGGGACAAAGTGCCAAACAAAGTGCGGGAAAACCTGCTGGAAAAACAACTGTCCGGCAAGTTGTCCGGGGGATTGTCCGGAGGGTTGTCCGGAGGGTTGTCCGCGCACTTTGCCGAGATTTATGCTTTAAACCTCCCGCGAGAATACTTCCCTCCGAGTGGTTTCTGAGTGGTTTGCGGTTTCCGAGCGGTTTCCGAGCAGTTTCCGAGTGGTTTCCGAGTAATTTTGGGCGTGTTCCAAACCTGTCCGAAGACTTGTCCGGGGGTTTGCCCGGGGTTTTTGGGCCCTCGGGGGGTTGTCCGGGGGCTTGTCTGGGGAGTTGTCCCAGGCTTTTGTGCTCTCAAAGCTGTCCGGAGGGTTGTCCGGGGGTTTCTCTGGGGAGTTGTCCCACCGATTTTGTGCCCTCAAAGCTGTCCGGAGGGTTGTCTGGGGGTTTGTTCGGGGGGTTGTCCGGGATTTTAAGCCTGTGTGGACCCAAAATATGAAAACAGGTGTTTAAGCAGAACCGCCTCTGTCAACCCATTTGGTCACCAAAACAACAAACAAAGAAGCTTACAACAAACACCTGGTGTTTTCGAAATAGGGGAACGCAAACATGATTCGGTTTGCCAGTTGGCTCCCCGGGAAAAACCACGACACCGAAATAGATGCTACCCTTTAACCCCTTTAAAAGGATATCGCTCTGCAGCAAGCCCGCCCGAACGACATTCTCTTGACCATGACCTAGAAAAACGCAAGATGGTAGATTCAACCCCTCTATGTGTTTGCATTTAGGCAATGACACTCTTTAGGTAAACAATGATGGTTGCCCAACGAAAACAAACTTCTCAGGAAGTGAGTCATAGTCCACCGTTCCAATTGTTGGAAATACCGGGTGCAAGGGAGTACACCGGCCAGCCAAGGCAATGCCCGCTGCAACCAGTTCAATGCATATGTCTTGTTTGGTGCCAGTCAGGTTGGGCACTGCTTGGAATCACCAGGTCAGCGAGAAGAAGTCGACTCAAAGCGTGCCGGGCCAGCCAGATGCCCCAGAACTCCTTGTCTGATTGGAAGTGGCTGAACAACACGTCGTACCTCGAATTCGCCGGGATTCGGATGCCCAAAAACGAAAAACATCGCAGTAAACCAGGCGAAAGTTGTTGAATGGCTCAGGGGTTGAGCGTGGTTGGTGTCGTTGCAATAGTTTGGCACCATACTGGCACTTGCACAAGCTTGGTTTCTTTTCATCCCTTCACAAATCGTCCGGGTCCTGACTCGGATCCCCACGATTTCCTGGGCCCCAATCTGCTCTTTCTCAATTTAGAAGACTGGATTGCGTGGTGCTGGCGGTGTCCGCAGTCTGCAGGAATCGGAGATACCTTCCCATCCAATCTCAAATCAGACCTTGTGACAGGGTCTTTGGAGGAAGATCAGCCAACTTGGAGCTAACTGGAGGCCCACCCTGAACCTAACCCCACTCTGACGACCCTGACCCAACCGAATGCGTTAGTTGAGGGTATTTTTCTTGGGGAGCCGATTCTTTCTGAAGCAAAAGCCCCGGCCGGTCCCACTTCGACGAATCCAACTTCAAGACCTAAAGCTAATCAACATCCCAACCGCCTTGAGGCCGAGGGTCGAGGGCCGTCATCGTCTCTTTTTTTAGGAATCCGACCGCCGCAAAATGGTGATGTCCAGTGTTCCTTTGGGTTTTCGTTTGGAACACCATCAAAGGGAAGCAACTCCACAAGAAGGAACCACAACACCGACTAACATGAAAGTGCACAAAGCCTCTTTGAGAGAGGAACATAGTTTGTACAGCTCCCTCCATGTTAGTCGGTGGGAGGGTATCTCAGTTGCCCCTGTTCGGACCCAGAAATCAAAGGTGACCATCTTTTCGGGACCCGGACCATGGACTCCTGGACCAAGCCAGGTAAACCGCTTCCAGGGGAGTCATCATTCCAGGGTTTCTTAGGTGGTGCTGGATTTCGTCCATCCGCAGTATGAGTTTGTGTTTGCTAAGGGTACCCTTTGGGCTGTTTGAAAGGCACACACCCCTTCTGTGTTCACATTTAAAGTCCACCTGTTAGGGGTACCGTCAACTAACATATGTATCTATATATATATGTAGTTGTATGACCACCTCCCCCAGGTAAAAAAAGGACCTAGGGTGAACATTCGGAATTCTGAAAAATCAAAATACTTTCCACAGATCCAACCTTTGGGGGACCTGGATCCAACCTTTAGGGGACATAGAGCCAACCTTTAGGGGACATAGATCCAACCTTTAGGGGACATAGATCCAACCTTTAGGGGACATAGATCCAACCTTTAGGGGACACAGATCCAACCTTTAGGGGACAGTGGGTAACTTGAGTCACTTGCTCAAAACCCTTTTTATTGAAATGGTCGTAATCCCCGAACCATGCTTCAAGAATTCAGAAGGCGGAGATCCGCAGCTATTTATGGCAAGGGGATTCTCCCCAACCTTCATCTACCCGAATCGGTTTTGGTTGTGGCTCACTTGGACATGTCCCCCGATTTCCAAGTGGGGCGGTCCTCTCACGGAGCTCCCTCCAAAACCCAAAACGGCTTCGCAAAACGACGGCTCACATGTAGACGTCCGCGGTCTTCTCGAAGGTTGCAGGGCGCAGGTTCGCGGGTCTGTACCTCAGCTGAGAATTCTGCGCTTGGAACTGAGTACTTGGCCTACCTCCTGGGCTTACTTTGCATTTGAGGTATGCCTCCATGTGCGGGAGAACCGTCCCCCGGAAAAGAATATTCCTCCATTTGCGGATATATGAGTCCCCTGGGAAAAATTGGAAAATGTGTCCAACATATTATGTCCAATCATGAGAGATTCCTCCATTTGCGGAGACGCCTCCCCTGGAAAAAAATATATATGGACAATCAGTCCCATCACAATCGATGCCCTTTAAAACCAACAGGGGAACATGAAGAAAAACATAATCTTCAGGAAATGCGCGCCCTGGAAAAAATGGAAAATCCGTCCAATCATACGGAAGCCTCAGCTGCTCAAAAGGCCCAGAAATACCGAGGTTAACCTGCCTCAAAATGGGCCAAGGGGAAACCAAAAGGTTAAAAGGTCGGCTATGCGAAAGCGAGACTTCTAAGTGGGGTGTACTTGCCCTACCGAAAATTGCTGGACTGAACACTTGAGCGTGCAAAGAATACAAAGAAGCTGCATGCAGCCAAATCCCCGCGAACCTTGAAGCAAAACAGCCTTTGCAGGCAGGACAGGCAGGAAATCGCATAGGCAGTGCAGGCAAGACTTTCTTTACCTGTTGTTGAATGGAGCCACAATTGCATGCACATAGTTTGAGGGAGGCAGCAGGCAGAACCCCAAAAAGGACTCGAGGTTGTTGCTTGTTCAGTTGGCTGTAGGTCCTAATGCTGGGGCTGGTCTGGGCGAGACATCCGCCAGTTTAGTATTGGTTAGTATTGGACTATTCCAAAAGTAGTATTGGAGGCCCGGCTTCGGAAAAACAGAATTCACAGGTTTTTTTTGTTTTTACGAATGCAACATATGATGGAGACACAGAAGTAACACACCGCTTAGCAAGCTTCCCAATAAGAGACCCCTTCTCCGCGGGAACTTCGCTGCTTGGAACGTCCTCCGGCTATCCCGGAGAAACCGATCCCCTCCTTAGCACGCGAGAACTTATCGACGCCTTTGGTCAATTCTCCGAAATGAGCACCCGGCGGGGCGGGGGGGCTTCTCTACCCACCCAGAGGGTCCAAGTATTGCTTTTGGGCGGCAAAAAGGGGTCTAATATCTAAGCACCGCGGGCCACATTCATGGACTTTCCTATACATTACTATAGGCAGGCAATTGTTAACTTCGGACGTATCCTGACCGTACCAATCAGCGGTGGCTCCCCACTAACGAAATTGTCCGTGTAGGGGGCGGGTCCTTTGACTACGGTCCTCCACATGCATTGCCTATAGTAGTTAGTACCCCCTGGTTGTATTTCCAACTTAGGGGACTTAAGGCAGCTGAAACTGGGTCACCAGGGTTACTAGCCTCGCCGATCGCCTTAGCCCCAAGAAGGCTAACTTGAACAAATGGGGAACTTGATCGAAATGGGTCGGTGGACCTTCTAAGGAGGTACTTACGTTTTGCCCCCCAAAAGCCATCCTCATGAGGTACTTGGACCCTCTGGGAATGCAAACAATCTCCAGCTTCCTACAATTGAAATTACATACGGGCGTGTCTTTCCTGACCCCTTCTTGTTGGTGGCTTTGAATGAAACGAAAAGGAACCTCATTTGGGATTTTCGCCGAAAAAGGGACACACCCACATGTCAAGGGACCTCCTGACATCCTGCTTCCTTTTCTCCAGCAGTTGTTCGATTCCTTCCGCTTCGACCTTCGCCGAGTCGATCGGCAGGCAGAAATCGTCGGGCAGACGTGAAGCCTTTGGCTTTCATTCGAAAGCATAGGCCTCAAATTACGAACTTCCTAGGGCCCGCTGTAGTCCAACAACGTGGTGATACAATATGTTCCTTTGACACCTGGGGCCAGGAAAGGCTGGGGGATAAATCCAAGTGGCGTGGAGCTCTTTCTACGTGAAGGGGATCTTTACAACAAGTATGTTTAATTGCTTGTTGTTAAGCAGCATGACTTATGGCTCTTTCTCTTTCAACCACCACTGAAAGGGAATTGATTATTTTTTCCGCCTGCCACTTTTACCGACGAATTTATTCACTAGGGTAAAATGGAAATAAGCCTTGCAAAGAAGCCCCGATGTCAGACGCTTGATGAACGGATTTCCGATTCCATGGCAACCACCTGCCCGTGGGAACTTGTGTCCATCCACACCAAAAGGCTAAGGGACTGGCCTTAGGCACTTGTTTCTCTTTTCACATGTCACAACCAAAACCCTTTAAATACAACAAGGTCGGGATCCCAGAGCCATGAGAAAATCATTGAAAAGGCGCATCTCCGCAAACCAGTTGTGGGAGTATCCCTTACTCTCCAATTCCCTTGGCTTTGAGTGTGACTCATATGCACTTGACTGATTCATTCTCCTTACTCTTGCGGGTGTAGGAACATGAGAGAGACCCCCGACTTTGGAAACCATAGTAAGTCTTCCAAATGTCCTTGGTTGACGTTGGAAGGGGAGCAAAAAAATAATTTTTAGCAGTTAAGTGGGGATTTCCCACTAAACCACAATAAACAAAAATGTAAAATGTGTCCCAACAACAACCATGTGTCCCTCCCAAACTGGAATAGGCTACTATTCAGTCAAGTAACCCTTAGTTGGTGGTTTTTTGGGGTTCGAACTGCTGATTCTTGTACAGGGTAAATGGGAAACCCTCGCTAATCTCCAAACCAGCAATCAGGGGAAGCTCAACTATATATTATGTTCGCTGAACCTCACCAGCACCCCAACAATTACTTCTTTGATTTCAGTAGTGCGCTTTGGACATGGGAGAAAGCAGTCGTTGGAGGTAGTAGATGCCTCGTCCCTAGACTTGTAAGGCACAAACGAAACAAAGACGACCACAGACTACCAGTGCCACAGAGGACCCGGAAGTGAGCGAGCTGGAGCAGTTACTCCGACTCAATGCGCACGGTCCGGTGGCGAATGAGGTAGTGGCACCGTGGGATATGTCACACATACACACACACACACACTAGCAGGTATGGTTTGAAAATGATTCAAACACAAGACACACATTGGGCTGGGAACGCCAAAGACTGTGTGACCAGCCCGGCCTTGTTCCTTTGACCGAAACTTAGGACATAGCCCATTTTCTTTCGACAGCCACGAAACAAGACCCAAAAGAAACCCACGACTTTGGGGCTAAGACAAACCCACATCCTAGGAGAAATGACATGAACCACCCCGGACCTGCACTTTAACCTTGACAGCAATCTCTGACACGCGGGATTGGTTACACTGCTAACAGTTCAGCTAAGAAGCTGTGTCGCACTTGCCCAAATCGACGCACAATTAGAGCGGATCACCTTTTGCAAATCGTGACTTAGACCGACACTGGAAACCCAAAAGGTCAAAAGGTCGCGTCGCTTTTGGGCAAGCGGAATGCTGCTCTTGCAAAAAGAGCCAGTGGAGCATTGCCACGTCGCGGCATTCTTTGCCGCGTTGAACTTCAGCCCGCAGAGGGTGGTGACCACTGCACCTTTGAATGAACCAGAACCACCTCAGCTTTTGCACATGTCTAGCGGTTGAGTCCCTATTATTTTTAGCCCTCGTTCTTTTCAAAAACCAGCCATTTCCCCAGGGGTTTTGGTGGTTTTCCAGAAAGAAGGATCGAATGGGGAAGCTACCCCTAGAACATGGCTTTGATTCTGGCCCAGGTTTCGTGCACTCATGCAGCATAATTTCAAAAGCGAGCCCAGTGCGACCTTTCTTGGTTGCTGTTGACCCCTCTGCACAGTCCACTGCTTCCCAAAGGTCCAACCAAACAACCAGAAAGCTATCTGTTTGGCTTCACAACCCCAAAGGGGACGAATCTCAAGTTTAGGGGTCAGATGTCATTAGTCAGATGTCATTAATCTGTTCCTTTGGAGACTTTACATAAAATAACTAAACAAGAATTACAGCTGTATTATGCCTATATCATGCAAACATGAACAATACTAATTATGCCCACCAACCATTTGAGGGTCAACAAATCAAAACTCCAATGGCCAGCACACTTCCGCTTTCGGACAGTACTTGGGATTTTGGACTTGGGACAAACTGTTGTTGACTGGCTTGCTGTTGACCCCCCTGCAAAAAGCTTAACTTGTTGTGCGTTTTGTGGAAAACCCCTTGATTTCAACCAAAAAGTTAAAGTCTAAAGATCCAAGCCAATAGCAGTCAAGTTGAAAGGTACTGGGGTGGATACCCCCACATGAGACCAACCCGTCCGCGTGCCGATTCCGCAAGCGCGTTGTCACGCGCTCCCTTTGTCACGCGAGGAGAAGCTCCTCCTCATCCGGCAGACTTCTGCTTGTCAAAGGCATCCGTTCGTCGGCCATGGAATACTCCAAAGTACCTGCCACTTGCACGCCGCCCCCCCCAAAAAAAAACATCAGAAGGTGTAACTTCTTAAGTGGGTGAGTGGGAACATGCACATGACATCAAGTGATAATCGCTAAAAGGCAGGTATCTCTTCATGGATGTTTTTTGAGGGTTTGAACCCCTGGTTCTTTCTGAGGGCTTTTTGAGGAAACCCCTCCCTAAGCACCAAACCACCGATTCGGCTCCAAACCACCTTCTTATTCGCTAGAGTCTAGCCGGGGGCCCAGGGCTCCTTGAGCGTGGCTGAAAGTAGACAGCACTTTCGCCCACTTTAGGGTCCCCTTTTTGGTTGGTTGCTAAACAGAAACCAGCGCAGGTTGCGTATAAAATCAGAACATGACTAAACCAACATCACCTCACTTCCTGAGTTCATGGACTTTGGTCACGCGAGGTGATTGTTTGCTTCTGTGCCAGTCGACAGAGTCACACGCCGTTTATACGGAGGCTTCTCAAGATAGGGGGCCCTACACATATTATGTCTTCTCCTTTGGCTTCTGTTTAGCAACCACCCAAAAAAGGGACTCCCTTTTTTGCGCAACCTCCATAAGACATATTACCGTGGCCTCTCCAACAGACATCGCCATCGAATGGCAAGAAGACGTTTGGAACCATAACCCGTCGTTGCGTCAAGCTGAACTCTGAGCCAGACGTCTTGAGAAGACACAATGGTCCCTATACTTCCCTCAAACATGACCCCTACCAAGGGAAACTGAACCAAACATGGAACTAAACCACGCAAACAACAAACCAAGGGATCATTGCTCAAGCACGGGGCATGATGACATCCCAGCATTTTGGAAGGTTCGCGGGAAGTGGGAATGTCCTCGGTAGAACCCGTACAAAGAAAGGCGGGTGCTGGATGATTCTGAGGATGATTGTGTTGCAGCAAGGGAGTAGGGATGTCTTGCGTTTGGCGTCGTGTCCAAATCCGCCTCATGGATTCCGGTAGTTCATAAAGGCGCCATCCCGGAGTGTGATTCAACCACCCCTAGGGTTGCAAAATCCAAAGTTCGCACCATGGTTGAAAGAAACATTGGTACGTACAGGGGAATCACAAAATCCAGGGCTTCTTAGGTGGAGCGCACTAAAATGGTCCAACCCCAAAAAGTGTCAAGTCCATGAACTCAGGAAGAGAGGCACAAATCCTTTCTTTGGCTTGCGCACGGCGCGGCGGGGTCTGCCAATAGTAGCTCACCGCTCGCAGGCCAAGGAAGGCCTAGGAAGCCGTGGAAACGAATCGACGACAAGGCAAATAGATCCACAAAAACGTGACTTGAAGGCAAAACAGGGCATTTGCCACGAGGGATACTGCACTTGCGTTGAGTATCTACATTGCGAGTGGACCCTGGTCACCATTTGGGGGACTCTTCTTTTCACACATACCCATATAGTGGAGGCATGGCGGGCGCAGAAATGGGATGTGTGGCACCTCCGCGACGAGTCGCCGAATCAGGGCCTTGGACATATTTGGGGGTTGTCTCAAAATTTGGCGGGACCAAAGGGTTGTTTTCCCTCTGGGTTCCCTCTAAAACTTTCAATTTGCTCCCAAAAAAGGACACGCCTCTATGTGGAAACTGCCACTGAGATCCTTTGCTGAAGCCTCCCTTGGAGAAGTTTGGCATGTCTCCAGCTTGCAACACGGGAAATCTGAGTCATCAAAACCTGGTATTGGAATGGTCTACCCAAAACCATGCAAAGAGTAAAGTTACAAGGGCGGACATCCGCATCAATTCATGGCTGGGAGTATCACTGACCCTTAAGTTGCCCGGGTCTCATTTGAGAGTCAAAGATCAGCTTGTGGAATATGGATGCTTTTTTGGAGAGGGTTCCCATGTTGGTTTTAAAGCGAAACCAAGAGGAACATCGAAATCCATCTTGGGGATTCCCGGAAAAAAGAGAGACACATTAATGCGCCACCGTCACAGCCTGCTGTTCCAGAAAGAACAAATCCCCTGGCCTTGCGGGACATTCGCGTGAGTCCATGTGAGACCCCCAAAACATATGTTGACCTAACCCACAAGTTTCTGGAACAGTAACAAAAAAGGAGGACATAATTCACCCAAACCCTGAAAATGAAACCAGTACCAGTACCAGGTAGGGATGGATGAAACCCCACAACAAGTTGCTAAACCACCAACCCAATCTAATTCATAGTCAACTCCTGCATGGTAATTATTACAATGGTCTGCCCACAGCCTACAGAACTATAAAAGGACGGCACCTATTGTGGATGGGCAAAATCCATTTCGCACTACTGGAGACAAAGATAACCTTTGTCACGGTATTTACTTTGGGGAAGCGAATCAGATTCCATTAACTGTCTGAGTTCGGAACGGTGCGTTGGATGAATTTCGCACCCATCCACCAGATGGCTCTCACTCCGTGAGTTCGGAGGTTTGGTTGCCTGGTTTAGCGGTCACACAGCTCGAACCTGGACCCTCAAACTACCCCTTAACGTGGGGAAATTTCGAGGCTGCACAGAGCTTTCCTTTTTCTTTATTAAGGATTTGCCCTCATGTTTGGGGCCTTTTACCCATTTTTCGGTTGGAATCTTGAGGGTCCAGCATCCAACGAAACGGTTCCGTACCGAAGTCCGAGAAGCTGTGGACAGCCCGATGAGCACCGAGCCCATGATGAAGGCGACTCGCGCTTGCGAAGAGACCGGGGGTTCTTTCCCCCGTCTCCCACGTTGCCATGGCATCTGACAGAAATTTCCCTCCAGGAAATTCATCTTCCAGGTACCCTTTGACAGGTGCCATGGCAAGGTGGGAGGAAGCGTATCCAAAACATGGGCCGTCCCCAGCAAAATGAAAGGAATCAGCTTCCCCCTGGCTGGTGCTTTGGATTGGTGGTTTGGTCAAAGGGTGGATTCGCATTTGCCCCCTACAAGAAGCAATCCAAACCACAACTTGAGGATTATCTGGAGGAAGGAACCCAAACTTCCATGTGGTTTTGTGCCACATGGAAAAAATGAGAACATATGTCCAGTAGTACGATAGATTCTCTTTAAAGCCAACAAGAGAAAAACAGAAAAGAAAACAAAAACCTATTCTTAAACAAATTCAAGCACCGTGAACCCTCCCCAAAAAATCCTCTAGAAGTGGGGGGGGGTATAACCCAACTGGTCCAAAAGCACTTCCCCGGTTCATGGCCCTCTTTCAATTGCTGGTTGTTGTTTTTTGTGGGGCAATAAAAATTGATGGGAAGAACTGAGGATATTCATGGGTTCATATTTGGGCCATGCCCGAAAGACTTCGTGAGTCCTCCATGGCCTCAAATTGACCGTGTAGGCTAAACCGCAAAAGTTTAGACTAAACCGCATGTGCAATCAGACTTTGACACGGCACCGCGATAGAGTAAGGCAGTGGCAGAATGCCGATACTTGAATGGGTCAATCTTGCCATTGAAAGCATTCGAGTGACTGCAGAAAATGGTGACCGAAATCCACCCATGACCAATGTCCAACGGCTCCTTTCCAAATTTTCAAAATCATACCAGAGGAGTAACCAACATCAGAATCTTCTTGTTCGTTCCCTTGCACCTGCCCAAGCACAAGGTTCGGTTCCGTGGGAAGGCCACCGATGGGAAGCCCAAGCTGACTTGGCCAGTCGTTGGAACAAGAACAAGACCAAACCCCTCACGCCACCTTGGCCCAAACTAAGCAAGTGATGTACTAAACCCACCAAACGAAGAAATATGGGTCTGTCTCAAAAATAGGGGAACCCCCCAGAAAATGGCCTTTGGTTCGAACACCCCGCCCCCCCCAAAAAAAAAGTGGTTGTCCGTTGGTTCTTCCTTCAACACCCCTCAAAAAAAGACGACCTTCAACACCCCTCAAAAGAAGGGCGGGCCACCCATATAAATTTTCAATTAGGCGAGCCACCCAAGAAGGCGAAACCCTTCAAAAGAAGACCAACCACCCCTCTGAATTTTCCCTGAAGCCCACCTCCAGTGGGCGCGGTGTTCAGGAGACTGGCCAAAGACTTCCTGCGGAAGAGCCCCACGCCGATACTTGCCACGCCTGCGCTCCGAGTCGGCCCCCTTCGCCGCGCGCCGCGCGCCGAGTCGGTGCAAATTTCTCAGGGGCAGAGACTTGGCCCACAAAAACGGAGTATGGAGTCTCCATGACCCGAATGAAAAATAGGCCCATGACCAACCATTATTTAGGGTAATGACCAACCGTTTTTTAAAGGGTCGCGGAGACTCTACGCTCCAGACCAACGGCCGGAAGCTCCCAGAAGGCCGATCCTGTAAATGGAACCAAGCCTTCCAAAGGGGGTCCTGGGAACTCTCATGGTAGTCTGGGGGAGGGTACACTGAAAATCATGTGATGTTATTCTGCTTCCTACTCTACGCTGCTTCTTTGTCAAAAGAAAAACTGATTTGATGGAGACCCCAGGTGAGGTGATTTGCAGTTGAGCGTGATCTATCTTGGTCTTGGGGGTGTGGTTTACTTTTTCATTAGCCACCGCACCTCAAACTGGGCACTTGCGTTGGCTACTTCGAGGAGAAAAAACACCACACGGGTTGCTTCCGCTTCCCGAAGAAAACACCCTCAAAGACACACACACACACACTCACACGATGAGCGGCTCTTAGAGAATCCTGTTGGACATCCAAAAGCCTGATAGAAAATCCCGAAGGGGATGCTCAATTTGAAAACACCCCCGCCCTGCGTAAGAAAACAACCTCTCCCGGCGTGTCACTGAAGGACAACCATTCCCTTTGCAAAGGTTGAATTATCCTTCCAACCAAGCTTACATTTCGTTTTTGCATCCGGAGTCCACATGTTAACAGCAGCGGCGCACACAAGTAAAGGGATGCGCTTGTTGTACCATCCCTTCTCGTTTCGTAGATGGGCTCTCAAAACTAGAGGAGCTCCAAAAAGGTTGGCGTCCTTTTGCATTGCTGGAAACAAAAACATGACAAAACTAACCAAAAGGCTTTCCCAACAAATTGACACGCCACATATAAGGGCGGTACATTGGTACATAAGTTGTGCTTTTCGCGGTATATACATCCACAGTTCCAATCAACCCACCCCCCATCCCCCCATCCAACGCACCCCACCCCATCCCAACTTTTCCGGTGAACCCCTGCGAAATCCTACCTGTGCAGCTGAAGGACTCCTGATAGGCCACATAGGCCTCCCCAAGGAAAAAAAACTAACGCCCACGGCCGAGAATGTCGCGGTGAGCGCACACGCGGCTTGCAAAACGCAAGCCGCGTGGTGGGCCGCGTTCTCGAGTCGACAGTCGAGTTTCCAACTTGGCTGCAGGGGTTCCCTGAGCTTCGCTTCGGGTTCGCCTTGGCGTCGTTGGCCCCAACGTTGGTTTGCCGAGTGTGATTCACCGTTCTGGGCTGGTTTGCCCAAGAGCCACGGGTAGACAAATCCCCAATCCAAACCACCAAGGGGATGCCTGACAGGTGGATTTCGCTGATGGTTTTAACTTGCCGCACAAAACAGGGCTGCTCGGTGCTATCATATTTAGTCTACCCGATATAAAACCGTTTGCGAGGAGACCCCATCAATGTGGATGAACCAATTTCGCACGAATTAGGCAGCAGTTGGGATGAGTAGAGAATAAAACCCGACTTGAATACTGGTTGATGAACACCAATTTTAACTGGCGCGAAGCGGATTTTGGCCATCCACAGTAGTCCTACAGGTACAGTAACTTCCCAGTCTTTCTAGGGATCGATGTTCATTCCAGGCATCGATGCTACCAGCAAACGGCTGGCGTTTGAAAAGAATAATGGTGGAACAGAATAGGGAATCAACCTTAGAATGCTGCTATGTGGTTGATTATCCCAACATGACATGTTTGAGGATCGGGGTCACCTTGTCAGGGTTCGTGTTCCTCCCCGAAATTAGCATGGATAATGTCCTTCTCAAACTTAGACAAGAAAAGAGAGCTATTCTCTATCACTTGCACGGGACACAACCACATTGAGGTCACCCTCTTGAGAACCACAACATGTTTACGTGCATCCCCGCAAGACACCATCCCGAAAGAGGGCTCCCCATTCCTCTGAGCATCGGAGTTTTGAGACACTCACTTAGAGGCTGCCCTCCGACTAACGTCAAGGTGCCTGTTAATGTTGACCCCCTATGAATCCACCCCAGTTTATTAATAGTGGGTGTTCCTCTCCAAAAGTGAACAATCCCGACTAAACCCAGGGACACCCCCATATCAATAAACAGGGTTTTATTAATAGAAGATGTTCATTACAGGAGAATGGCCTCCTGCTAGAACCCCCTTTCCCCCTGTCAGGGTTTCATGTGGAGGGTGCCCACTTGACCTAATCTTGCCCATGGCGGAACGCCTTTGACCCCTCTAAAACTGGTGTCCTGCATTTGTGCGGAGCTCCGAAATCGCCATCGGATTCCTAGCCAGGGCTCCTTCAGAACCCAAGACGGCTCACTGCAAATGAGTTGTTTATAAGTTGATTCCAGACAAAGGCAACCAGTAACCCAGGTGATGTCTATGTCTGAATAATCTCTTCGGGGACACCTACCCAATGATGTTGGGGGCAATGTGTCTTACCCTCCCACCAATCAACATGCAACCTGACGTTTCGGGGGTTCTGTTTTGGACCATCTTCCTTTTAAAGGGACCCCCAAAACGTCAGGTTCTTGCTCCATAGACCGGGGTCAAAGGGAACCTGTTTCGTTGGCGTTGGGCACCTCCAAAGCTCTCCTAGGTCCTCCAGATTTGAGAGGTTAGAATAGATAGGTTACCCAAAATTATATAAGGGGTTATGACCCCACTTTTTAAGGTCATGCAGATGGAGACTCTAGGCACCCTGTTTTCTGTAGTCTATTTTAGTAGGGGAACCCTCCCAACCAAAAAAGGGGAGAGAAGGGCACTACTGGGGGACCTAGCCTCCCAAGCCAACCAGCCTGCCCGGCCCCACCTGCAGGCTGTTGACCAGGTAGGCATAATGCTGGCACGAGTCGGAGGCGGACGCGATGTAGTTCCTGGAAGGGCGATCCATACTGACCCGGGTCCCTTGGTGCCTCATGAGGATGGCTTTTGGGGTGGATGCTCACCTGAAATTCCTCAAAAGATGTCTTCATTCAGATGAATTGAATTATGTTTGTTGGGTACCCTCTTTTCTGTTGCATTAAAAAATCGAAGGAACACCAACAAGTGCTTGGAAGTTCCCCCTTTTGGAGACAAGCCATGCTGATAAAGCGCACCAGTTGGGAGTCGCTTTGTTTGTCTGCGCAGCTTCGTTGCTGGCGAGACCCCTATGCATTTTGTTCAACTTTCTTTGGGGTTCAATTCGGAAAACCAGCTTGATTTCTACCAACAAGTTCAAGTCTAAAGATCCAGCATAGCAACCACGTCAGTGTCCTTGGAGGTCTCATGCTGCTTCTCCAAATGCAACAGGCATGAAAAAGCCAAATGCCCTCCGCATTCTAGGCTGGAATTCGTGGACCCCAGCAAAAAGAAATGAGATCTGTTTTGCCTGGTTCGTGGAAAACAAAAGGGAACCAACCAAAAAAACACAACAAAAAAGGCAAAAACAAAAAGCAAAAAGGGGAACTAACCCCTGGGGAACCAACCAACACAAAAACGCAAAAAAAAGGAGCGAGCGAGCGAGCGAGCGCTTTTTCTGGTGGAGCTAATTCTGGGAGGGGGCCCCTGGCTCCATTGGGTTCATGGGGGACCTGGCCAGTCCTCTCTGGTGCTGTGGACTGTGGACCCCTGTCTGGCCAGTAGGAAAGCATATAGGTGTCCTGTTAGGGGAAATAGATGGGATAGGTGGATGATTCAACCACCAGGTAAACCAGGAATCACCATCTACTTTTCTAGCAAGGGCACCCACCGCCCAAGGATGGATCCACCTGGGTCTTCTATCTTGAGCTCCACTTCAAGCTTCCAGTTGAGTCTGGCCACTGATGGGCGCGAATTCCATGCAACGCACCCTTCAGAAACCCAGGAATGATTTGATCCCCCAACGTAAATACCAACAAACGGTCTGGTGTCAACCCTGGTTTCACAGTGGTAAAGAAATTTTCGTCCATCAGTAGGATTGCAACAGAAGTTGCATGTTTCATTGTCCAGGGCTGGAGAGGGCCAGGAGGAATCTGAGGGCAATTATTGTGTTGTTCGGGGGGGTAGCCATGAAGGGGGTTACGCTTTACCAGCTTCTTAAACCATGCGGTTTTGTTGAACTAGTTGTAAGAAAGTTGCTGCTTCCGGCTAGCTGTCGTCCGTTAATTCTGGAATGGCAACCCTTGAGACCATGCAAGGAGGTAGTATTGGCAAAAGTAGTGGCAATCGATCTAACATTATGTATGAGGTGTGAATAAATTGCTCAGAGGGGTATTTTTGCCAATGGTATTGGCTGGCAGTCGGCTGGACAAATCGGGCTCAGAAAGGGTTTACTTTTCATGTGCCGACATTACCGAGATGGCACAAACACATGATGGGAACATAAAGGGCAAGCGGCAAGATTATTTACCTGGAAAATACTAGGGCTCCCTCAGGTGCATGTAAGGCACCTGCAAATATGTCCTTACTCTCCAATGGGCATGGGGAAATCGAAGCGATCTTCGTCTCTAAAGCCAATTCTGAGAGAGCTCTCCCCTTGACCCTCTGAAAGGCGCAAGTCTAGGGGTTGATTCCCCAGTAGTTTCAGCCATCCTTCTTTTCAAAGACCAGCCATTCCCCCCATTTTCTTTTTGGTGTGGTGTTCTAGAAAGATTCGGATCCCTGGAAAGAATTGGGAAGTTACCCCTGGAACAATAGACAAATCCAGATTTGTTCCCCCCCATGAAACAAACTGGAACCCCAAGTACCGATCCTTTTTTTCTGCCTTTCCACTTTTGTTCTGGGTCCATTGGGGAGAAAAGTTGGATCGGTCAACAGTCAGCAAGCGGGGTGCAGGCAATTGGGTGGGAAATATATTGGCTATAACTATGTCCCCCAAACCAAAAACAAAGTCTCCCGATTGAGTGGATTGGTCCAAACCCAAATTCCATTTGCCTTTTCGTCACGGAAAAACATGAGAAATTGTGTCCAGTAGTCAAATCCATTCCCTCTAAAACAAAGCGGGGAAAATAAACAAATATTGCTGTCAGCAAATGGAAGTCGTTTACCACTAAAATGGCAAGCAATCCAAAAGAGTGACTAAACGTCCGAGTCCAAGAAACTCAGGGAGTGAGAAGTCATGTTGCCTGAGGCCCCTAAGGCCCGGCAAAAAAAAACACACACAAAACAAAAAAAAAACGGCGGGGGGGCCCGCACCCCAAGAGGCCTGCACTCGTCGCTGCACACCACATCCTCCATCTCCTCCATGTCTCCCCCGGGGATGGGGCAGTTCCTCGACGAAATCTCGCCACGGGTGCCCGGGAGGGGGGGGGAAGACCCACTGCAAAGAGTTGCAACCACTTCTCTTCCATTTGTTTAAGCCCCCTGGACAAAATAAAATTATTTCCAGCAGTGTCAGATTCCCTTTGAAACCAACAAGGGAAACTCAAAATATCCTTAAGCAAATGGAAGTACTTGCAGGTCCTGGTTTGACCATCAGTTTCACTCAAAAAAGCTTGCTTGGTTTCACAGCAAGAATCAGCCCTCTTACGAATTCTCCAAGTGGTTGGCAGGCAAACAACGCCCAAACCAAATTCTGAGAGACCCCCCCCCCACAAGCCCAACGCTCTTGGGCAGCCACCGATTTGTGTTTTTTCTCCGCTCCCAGGCTTGCAAAACCCACAAAAGGGAGCGAGTGCTCACAATGTGCCCTCACATGAGGAAGTTGTCCTCCAAACATTCCTGTGTCTCACTTCCTGAATCGATGGCCAAAAAAAGTACCCGAAGATTGGATTTACCACTAAAATGGGCCAAACCCAAAAACTGACTAAAGTCCAGGAACTCAGGAATTGAGGTATCGGTGGTTATTTAATACGGGGACGCATGGTTGGGTCAAAGCACTTCTCCATGCTGAGGGTCGTTAAGGTTAAGTACGCACGATCCGATTTTCCCCGCTTGCCAATGCAACAGTGAGAAAGACAGCCTGGCTACGTGCATGTTCCATACCCACCGGGTGCAACTAACCCTCCGAAGAAAAAAACAAAAAAGGGATACACTAGGGCTATTCTCCACGCCCTTGCCTGCTTTCTCAGGGGTTGGGTGCTGGCATGTTGAAATCACTCGCCAACCGAACAATGACGCCAAGGCCTTCTCGCGGTCAGATCCGATCAATGGGCATGAGGAAACCAAAGGCCCGGAACGGCCCCCCTGTCCCACCACAGGTTCAAACAACACCTTGGGGTGCTTCTACAATAGGGGAAAGCCCAAAAAGGGGTGTTTTTTTCTTTTGGCGTCGCTTCAAAACCACAAAAATAACCCCGCTGGCTTGAGGAACACCTTGTGGGTTCTGATTCAAGGCTTGAACTTTTGCACCTGGCGCTCCCACGTTTCGGTGACCTCTGGGAGTAGCGGGTCTGTGTTTCTTGACTTCGCTTGGCCCGGCAAAACATGAAATAGAGTGGATGGTTGCGAAATCCATTTCGCACCGCCTAAGAAACCCAGGAATGATGATTACCCTGTACATTCCAACACAAAATGGTTTCCTTTGGTTTCAGAGTGGTGCAGGATTTCGTCCATGCACAGTATTGCCCAGCCCCAGTTTTCAACCAAGAGGGACGCATTATCAACAAAAAAGATTGAGCAATGTGGCACATAGGTTTTGAACATTGATCAAATGTGAGTGGACTGGCTGAAAAAAGTAACCAAACCTTTTGCTTGCCACGAAAATGGTCCAAACCCCAAAAGTGGCCAAAGTCCATGAACCTAGGAAGTGAGACATGGCATGTTCAACCGACTGCTGGGGTTGGACTCTCTGACTCTGACCTGTGCCATCCCAGGGGCCGATCCACTGCAGAGATCTGCTCTTGACATGTGACCACCTGCTCCTCAGCTTCAAATGTGCACCCTAAATCGCTTTCTAGGTCCTCCAGTGGAGAGGTTAGGCTAAGGGTACCAACTTTTTCCTGTAGTCTATTTTAGTAGGGGAACCCTCCCAACCAAAAAAGTGTAAAAGGGCACTACTGGGGGACCTAGCCTTTCAAATGGGACCCCAAATGGCCCTAGGTCACTTCCCAAGCAAAACGGTCTGGCTTCGCGGACATTTGGCTTTTGAGTGTATCCTTCTTTGGTTGAATTGTCGGGAAGCACAAAGAACGTGGGTCGCTCGACTTTGGGACGAGCCCATATGAAGGAGTAGCATCAAAAAAACAAACATGTGGTGTCCCTGGCAATTTGCTGAGTGTGTGCCCAAGGGCTCATGTTTCTTCAGTAGATGGACTTTTGCGGCACAGGCATCGCAAACCTAGGGGATCCCAAATACCCCTTTCATATCCCACCAGCTAGTAATCTTTTCCATTTCAAAGAGCCCTTCGTTGATCATGGTAACTGCAATCACTCGGAAACAATTAGACCCCTGCGAACCCAAGGAACAACCTGTATCCTTGCCGAGCAAGTCTCTGTAAAAGGGCCCCTTCCTTGTTTCTCCAAAACGAGTTTCGTTTGGCTCGGTCTCTTGGGCTCAAAGCGACACCAAAAAACAAAGACACGCCGACCCGCTCCGAAGACCTTGCCGGTTCTCAGGGAATGAGGGAAATGACCCCTATAGCCTATGCCTTGTGGCTTCCGTTAAGGGATTCCCTAGGCTCATTCCCTACTGAGCGCCAGCGAGAGACGTTTTCATGGTAGAGCTTACCCTTCCTCCCACGGACAAGAGGCATTGCTGGGAGGGTACCCGGAAGGTCAAGATCCTCTTCAAACCAATTACCCGTCAGGTGCCATGTTAGTAGGAGTTGCTGATTTAATGCCCCGTTTGGAGGTTGGGAGCTTTCCATTTACTCTCAACAAGAAGGGGATTCACCAATTCAAGCCACCAAGGGCGTAACCTGACATGTGGTAGCAGGTCCTGCAAATCAGAGACATCATACACGTACAATGAAGCCATCGGTACGGAATTCACGGAACATGCGAGGGCTGGGTATCCCGCACCACCTATCTGCATAAATGGGCATGAAATCTAGAGATACTTTGGTGGACGTCAGAATCCGGTGAGGATTCATATCCACCAACCACTTGCAAAGTAATTCCCTAAAACAAAACCCTTAGGCAAAGTATTAATTATCATTCCTGGATTGCCACACAAGATAACCAAACTCCTTTTGCTTGCCACTCATTATGGTCCAAATCCCAAAAGTCTCGGGAAGTGAGACGAACTGGAAAAACCTTATGAAAAGTATGTCCGAAACCCTGGGAAAATGCATGGTTTAAAAAGAACCATGGCTAAAACACATGGGGAATCAACCCCTAGAGTTGTAAGATGCGCCAACAAGATGTTCAGCTGAAGTATCACGTATCGGAATGGCCCCGCAGACCCGCAGCTTCGACCTGCACGTGAGTTCTGGCCCGGCGCACGTGGCCCGAACCCCTCACCAAAAGACGCCGTGCGGACGTCACGCGTGTGCCAAACCAAGCTGCGCAAAGGGGGCTGGTGCTGTTCTGCATCCTCTCACGGCACAGGTAGAGGTCATTGATCATGTCCTCGGTTGTGAAACAAACCATTGGGGTAGGCCATGGACTCAAACATGGCGTTGGAAGGAAGAACGAACAACTCAAAGCACAAAAAGACACCTCGAAAAGACTTTAGTTGTTGCTAGTGGGGAAACGGTCGAGTCATTTGCCAAACATGTTTATATAAGGTTCAAGGCTATTTCCAGGTAGGTTTTGAAGGTAAAGAGGCTCTGTACCCACTAAGGGGTACATACTGCATACTGCCAAACTTACTCACTGTATATTGGCGGTCTGCATGCATTCCTCCAAAACAATCACATGAAAATTGCCCTTGAAAGGTTCTCAAACCCCTAGTCAATTCCCATGCGAACAAAAATCCACACGTTTCATGTTGTAGCTAAAGGGGCTTCCTCCCTCCAAACAAAGTTGATGGGCACTCAGGGTGATTGTTGTTTGGAGTGAATGAAGCCTGGTGCAAAGTTGGCCCTTCAAAGTTCCTAAGTATCAGAAGTCTCTGTACAACGGGCAACTCCGTGGATTGTTAAAAGAGAAGCACCATAAGGGAAATTCACCATGAAAGCAAAGGAAGCCGAAACAAAAACGAGGGAACCCAAAAAGAAAGCAAGGGAAGTAAAACACAAACTTAAGAAGACCGAAGCACACCAAAGCGAACAAAAGGAAGAAAAGGAAACTGAAGTTCACAAACAAAACTAAAGAAACACGTAGGCAACCACGGGACACTGCAGGCACCCAAAGCTGAAACACAAACACCAAAGGGAGGTTGCCAAACCAAGGGGCATCTAAGAAAATCACAGAGTCTCTGATCACCACCAAAATGGTCCAAACCCAAACAAGTGACAAAAGTCCAGAAACTCAGGCTTGGATTCGTGGCTTGGATTGGCAGTTCGGGGTGGTGAGAAATACCCACTACAAGAACCTGGTGATCAGGGAAATGGCTTGGGAGGGACATTGGGGGACTTACCAGTGACTTCAGTCCAGAAACTCAGAGAGTGAGTGGAGGTTGCCTGAGATGAGGGAGTTGGTAGAGGCTCGTGATGACTCGCCCCCCTGCCGTTTTTGGTGGTTTTGAAGGAAACCAAAAGGAACATCACCATTTGGGTGGGTGCACCTGAAAAAAAGGACCCGCCCAACTGCGGATGGACAAAATCCATTTCGCACCACCCAAGAAACCCTAGAATGATGATTCATTCCCCTGTAAATACCAACAAACCATGATTCACATGGTTCAAAGTGGTGCGAAATGGATTTCGACCATCCACAGTATCGACTCCCCTTTCTTGGTTCCCTTCCTCATCTCTCTCGCCAAGGTGCAGTGCGGTCCTTGCCTGGGGGGCAGTACTTGTCGCGGTAGTACATCACCGGCTCAAAGACGCTCCGGGCCCGGTGGAAGTGCCCGCACTTCTCCTGAAGTGACTCATCTCTGCAACCCCTGCTATAGCAAAAGACTTTGGCCCCCTACCAAAAAAATGACGGGAACCCAAAAAAACTGAAAACACATGCAAACCCTTGCTACTGTGGATGGTTGCACTCATCTTTACGACTCGTGGATTCAAAGTGAAACACATGTTCCACTTCCATTTGCTGAAATGAGCATGTATCTTATTTGTTTTGCTTTGAAAGGGGATCTGTTGCTACTGGCAATACTGTGGATGGTTGCGAAATCCATTTCGCACCACCTAAGGAACCCTGGTGTCTGATGCTTCCCCTGAATACCAACAAACAAGGGGTTGTCCGGGTTTGCAAGTGTTGCAGGATTGCGTCCATCCACAGTATGGTAGCAAAAGACTTTCTCTTTGCAGCCCCCTA